ATACAAAATACAAATCAATACAAACTAAGGTAGACAACGTTTAAGAGCACAAAAATATTATTAAAAGCAGACAGCTGTTTCGGATGCTCAAAGGGCAACCTTCATCAGTGCAACAGATGAAGGATGCAGTGCACCCTTCATCTGTGAAGGTTGTATTTTAGGACAAAGGTCGCCCACTTGCATATTTACAAATCTATAGATAACCCTTTGACACTGATGGGTTATCAATATCCATTTTATGTTTTTTTTGCCTCCTTATTTACTACTAAAAATATACTTTTATATATTTTAAAGCTACTAGGGAACTAAGCCCACTGTTCGCAGTCGCTCACCAACCTCCATGATTGTCTCACATTGTTATTTCTAGGCAGAAAGCAGTTTTTCTACTGAAGTAAAAATTATTCACTTTACATATATATGTACTAAAAGGAATTCTTTTTGCTAACACTTGTGCCTCCACTTCCCACGTCCAAATATCTACTAGTATTATAAATATTTAGATCTATTGTTGAACAGAAGTAAATTTCCTAAGTAATCACTCTTTGAAATAACATTATGTTACATTATATTATTCAAACAAATTTGATGAGTTCACAATCGCAATTTAATATTTTATCTCACCAAACGGATGGATATATTTACTATTTTTGCTTGCATCTCATTGTGCATGAAGCTGATCGTTATTTTCTATATTATTTACTTCTTAACTGTAATTTATGACTGTATGTCAATATGATTTGCACAAAAATAATAATTGTAGAACGGTTAATAAGATTAGACTACCTTCCTAAATAACTTTGTTAAAATGTAGAGCAGTAGTGTAGCATTATAATAACAAAAGAAAAAAAAATTCTCATAGTTTTAAACTCTTGAATTAAAAGCGTAATAATAGCAGTTCAGGAAAATAACTTATTAATAATATGAAATTAGAGATATAAAAATATTCATATAAAAACAATGCCTTTGTAACTTTTGTTAATTTTATGCTGATGACAACCAAAACAATATGGAGATGAATAAGGAAAAACTGGATCCCAACACGTGACTTTCCGGCCAATAAAAATGCACGGACAACAATGGAAAACTGCCACACCATCATTTTCTATATAGTAAGAAGACTCAGCCTTATAGATTACGAATAAATATGTTACAATATTAGTTTGAAAATAGTAATTTTTATTCAAATTCAAAACTTAAATTATTGATTTTGTAAATAAATTAAATAGATCAAATCGATTTTTTTAGATGAATAAAATAATATATAATTGTATGAAAGAAAAGTTTTATATTAAAATTTAATGTAAGATGTAAAAGACAAGATATAAAATCAAATCAAATGTTAAAATTTTATGTATGAAAAGTTTTATTAATATGCACAATCCATAAATTAATGACGTAAGTTGTTATTCTCTTACATATTAGGCGCTTAGTTTTTAATTTATGCTTAGAAACAAAAGACAAGGTTTTAGATAAATGACATAATATGTATCTTTATGTATGAAAAGTTTTACATTAAAATTAAATTTAAGATGCAAAAGACGGGAGTTGAATTTTTAAAATTTTTTTATTGTTTTATGTACGAGAAGTTCGTCGAGATGCAAAAGATAAATAAAAAAATAAATTACATAAGAGGTTTTTTCTTTATGCGTATTAGATGCTTCGTTTCAAAATTATATAACGAAGCAAAAAAATATTTATTTTCCTAGTAAATGTAATAATATGAAATTTTAAAAATGGCAAGTTCAATTAAATTTAAAATCAAAATTAAAGTTAAAATTTAAAATTTAATGAAAAGTGCAAAAAATTATATACCATGTTATTATTTCATGTAGTATGAAGAGTTAAGAGGCAAAATTCTTAAATTTTCTATGTAAATGACATGATATATTTTTTTCTTATTTGTTTATTTTTTATATTTTACTTGTGATCAGTTTTACATTTAAATTAAACATAAATTTCTATTCATGTTGTTCTGAATGACATGATTAACAAAATTCGAAAAAAAGATATCACATAGAATAACTTCGGTTCTAATGATCATATTTTCACGTACCATGTGTCAATTTTAATTGTTAAAAATATTGATCTAAATGTGCAAATTAATTAGGGCTAACTATTACGTTTTGGAACTAGACATAAAAGTCTACCTTCTCTGTATAAGTTTTTTCAATTTTTTCAACGGATTTAGATGTAGAGCGTTGTCTTAACAATGAGGTGAACCGGTTTCTAATCCCAGCGATGGCTGGTTGATGTGAATTTCGCATCCAGCTTACACCGACCACAGTGCTGACGTTAAATGTCCTCAGAGGTAGATGGATCATGGATTAGAGTCCCCTTGCCTTCTGCCTAACCGTGAGAGGTTACCGTGATTTTCCTTAACATGTAACGCAAATGCTGGTTAGTTCTATATCAAAAAGTCCTCCACGAAAGCAAATTTCTCCCAATACTTGATTTAGGAGCTCCTTTGTCTTCTAAATCGGGTTTAAAATTACAAAGCTGCGGAGTTGAACATTGGTAATTAATCTCAAAATTGGTTTGGCTGTTCAACGACGGTTTTGAAATAAAATAAAATAAAAATACTGCCGACCGGCCTGTGTAGGAGGCAGAGAACTGTCCTTGAATTAGAAAGGTTTTGGGTTCGAATCCCGGGCAAGGCATGGATGTTTCTTTGTCTCTGTGTGTTCTATGTCCTTTCTTCCTTGTGTGTGTGAATGTGACCCGCCCTATACACGGGTTTGTGGTGAGGCAGAAGTTGAATTCTTGGCCATAGATGGCGCCACTGAAAAACAAGAACAATCGCACCCCCTCTGCCTAAACAGGCATACGACAAAAAAAAATCAAAATACTTAGAGTGGCAATGGTAGAGCGTTCGCTTCAAAAGGAGGTGGCCGAGATTCGAAACCTAGCGATGGCTGCTCAAATCAAATTTTGCTTCTGAATCTCAATCGAATCATGGGTTAAATTCCCCTTGCCGCCTGGCTAACCATTTGGAAGTTTTCGTGCCTTTCCTTACTATGGAACGCAAATGTGGGTTTGATTCATCAAAACGTCCTTCACAAAGGTTATAGCTTGTCCCAAAGCTTGGACCACGTTTTTTTTTCGTCTTCTGGATTAGGTTCAAAATTACAAGGCTGTGGAATGAAACATTTTTAGCTGCAGGGCTTGAACTGTGTTGGTTGCTCAAATCAAAATACGCAATCTGGAAGACATGGTTGCAGTATTTCAAAAAGGATAGCGGTCGAAACTTTGGATCAAATGAGATTAATTTCATTTTTTGCGCATTTCGCCGTATGTTGAGAAACTTTTAAAACGTCATGATAACAAATATTCTTGTGTGTGATAAAAGATGTAAAATAAACGAGTTTTCATAAGTTAGGATGAATACCAAAAATTCATACCAAAACCTTGCGTGTTAATGAATTTAATAGAAAATTCAATAATGTTTATCTTTTAAGCGTTATAAAATTATTTAGGTTTAAGTTACAGGTAATTTCTGATCATTTTGACGATAAATAATTTGTTACTTACTAAAAAGAAAAATCCATTCCATCGAATATATAAATATTGATTGAAATCACTTTTAAGAGTTGTTTAACCCACTATAAAATTCGCTNATATATATATATATATATAATATTTTAATACATTAAATATAAAATATTTATTACATTAATTTGGCTTATGTTTTTTATAATTTTCCATATTATAGTTTCTAATTGATCAAAAATAGTGTTAAATGTTTACATGGGGTGCTTAATGTTGTTTAAAGGTGTTTAAACAGTGCTTAATATTGTTTCAAGGGTAAAAGAAGTATGCACTAGCTTAAACATTTACTAATTTTGCGCTTTAAGCTTAAACAGGATTGGGAAATTTCTTCTACAATATAAAAAGACTATATTAATAAATTAATTCTAATTAAAGATTTATATTTATTAATTATATTATGTTAAATAGTGCATTTTCATGTGATAACTAATTTTTGAGAGCACTGAAATTTATAATTTCTTACGGGAATGAAACGTTGGAAGAAAAAAATTATTAAAGTCGTTTGAAAATTTATTATTTATAACTTTTCTATGCACAGCATATTTTTAAATTTAATATAATCCTTAGCATATTAATCTGTTTTTCATTCAGAATAAAAAAAAAGAAGACTGTATATACATGATTTTTAGTGAACTGTCACAAAATGGGCTGTAACAGACTAGTTATTTTATTTTATTTCTATGCACACATATCATTATTTCACAAGTACGTCCGCTCATTTTTGGAACGTAATGAACACTGTTGATATTTTTGCTAAAATCAATAGATGGCGCTGAGCTGAACAAATACAAACTTTGGAGCTAATAATTTTAAAACAATGACTTATACTTCTAGTGTAGCGATGGCATTATTAAAAGTTAATATTCTACATTTGTATTCTGGGAGTTTATTGATGTTTTGCTCATAGTTTGAAAAACTGATATTTAAAATAAAATTGCTCTAATTAATATTTCTTCTCACTTAATATTTCTTCTTAATATTTCTTCTCTCGAAAGAAAAAACTTAAAAATTCACAAAAATATTTTTATTTTATATTATACTAGATAAATATCCGCTCTTCGAACAGAATGTATAAAGAATTAAATATTAAAAATTAGTTATTGTTGAACAACATTTCGAAATCATGTAGAGAACTGAAAGGCATATACCGACAAAATTAATAAAGCTAAAGTAATACAAATTATTCATTTATTGTCGTTTGTTATCCTTCATGGTGACTTTCCGCTATTAAATTAAGCAAAACAAGTTTTTTTTTGTAGTTCAAATCATGAGAATGAAGAACATTAACATTCAGAATCTTGGCATGATGCTATTGCTCGCGGCCAAATCACGATAGTTAAAACTTAATCACTATGAAAATCATTTTTTTCGGTATCTATTCCTTTCCAGGAGCCATAACACATTTATTTCCACAGCATTGGGTATGATTAAAACTACTCATTATCTCTTGAAAATAAATTCATGTAAGAAAAAATGTTCTGTTAATTCCATTAATTTAATCTTTTAGGGTAGTCCACCTTGGTAATGTTCTAAATACAAGACTTTTACAAAGAGGACACTAAGGAGTTGCCTGCGTCAATGAAACGGATCGTTTTCTTCTTCAAAACATCTAAAAAAACATCAACATGACAAGTTCTGTAGTTCTTTTTAGTCTCGTTGTGATGTTCTTGGGTATTGTAACCTCTTTTACAAATGAAACAGATACTAAAGATGGCATAGTTGAGAAGAACAACTCTGAGTTTTTCACTGCAGCAGGTGAAGCAGTTTTGGAAGAGAATTCGGCTGAGAAGAACAATCTTGAATTTCCCACTCTGCTAAGTGACTCAGTTTTGAAAGAGAATCCAGCTGAGAAAAACAAATCAGAATTCCCCACGCTAGAAAATGGCGCAGTTCTTGCTGAGAATTTAGTTGAAAAAGACGATTCTGAGAACCACACAATTCCAGTTTTTGTAGAAAATTTAGACGAAAACAACAGTTCAGAACCTTCCATGTATGATGATGAATACAGCGGCAAGGATGAATTGTTCTTGTCGTGCGACAAATGGGATTATGATCCCACTGAATTTGTGATACTTCCAAACGGTTCAGCATTCGTGTCATCGAAAAACCTAACTTACGAAGAACCATTTTACAATGTAATTAACAACTTTTTGGTAGTTTGCATACCCGAAAATAATGGAGACACTAGCGATGAAACGAAACCAGTCAGATATCTGTCTTTGACTGGAATTGTCATATCGATGGTGTGCTTATCGATGCATCTTATCGTTTTTTCCCTGGTGCCTGACTTGCAGAATTTGCCCGGGTGTAATCTGGCATGTCTATGTGCCTCTTTATTGCTGAGCTACATGTTCATGCTCATTGGTCAAGATCGGGAAGAGGATGGCTATCCTATCATATGCATGATAGCTGGTGTTTTGACCTATTTCTTTTTCTTGGCTTCATTTCTTTGGATGTCCGTAATTGCTTTTGATGTGTGTCGCTCTATTGTGTTAGCTGCTCGCAAAATGAAGATAACGAGGCATGAATTCAGAGTGAAAAAGTTTCTGTGGTACAGTCTCTTTACATGGTGCACCGCCTTGGTGTTCACTGTAACTGCGGTAGTTGTTGATAACGTGGAAGGGGTTGAAGGAAACTTTCGTCCCATGTTCCGAGATGCATGCTGGTTCAAAGAGAAAGAATCTCTTCTGATATTTTTTGCCGTACCCGTGGGTTTCCTTATTTGCCTCAACGTTTTATATTTTGGAGTCAGCGCATTCCTGACTTTCAATAACCAAATGAAATCGAGTCTTGAAACTCAAGCTCATAATCTGAAAAATCATCTCTTATATTTTAGGCTTACTGTAATCATGGGAGTCACGTGGATTACAGGAGTGATAGCTCCCCTCGTGAATGTCACGTGGGTTTGGTACCTGTTCGTTGTCTTGAACACTTTTCAGGGACTTTTCATATTTCTTGCGTTCACATGTTCACCAAAAGTGAAAAAGTTCATTCAACAGAAATTGATAAATGTTCGAAGACCATCACAGGCAACGCTAAAGCCAACATTCCAGTCTTATTGCAATTATTCAAGTTCGAATGCGAAAACTTCAAACAAAGCCACCGTTTCTACAGATACGCCTGTAAAGAATGGCCTTGACAAAGCCACCGATTTTGAGGATAAGTCATTAGAAAAAGGCCTAAATAAAATCTCCGATTCTACAGATAAGCCTTTAAAGAAAGGCCTTGAGAAAGTCACAGATTTTGAAGATAAGTCATTAGAAAAAGGCCTAAATAAAATCTCCGATTCTACAGATAAGCCTTTAATGAAAGGCCTTGAGAAAGTCACAGATTTAGAAGATAAGCTTTTGGAGAAAAGCCTAGACGAAGTAACCTATTCTAAAGATAAGTCTTCAGTGAAACCCCTAGTCTAAGTCGTCGACTCTACAGATAACTCTCAGCTAAAGGAGGATGTTGTAATACATCTGTAATATTTATGGCTTTTGCACACACATCATTGTATATGAAGCATTTGTACAATGGAGTGTGTACGGAAAACACTATAATGGTTTGTAATGGATACCACTATAAGATATGATCCATAACATCGGTTCCCAAATGGGTTACAGGGGTTCCGAGAATTAGGAATTTTTTTAAACGAGCAGTGTTTTTCAAAATCTGTAATTAAATTTATATCCAATTAATAATCCGTTATTTATTTAATATATTCGTTATTTTTATGAAATTACTTGATTGAAATATTCGTGAAGAACGAAGTTTCAAAAGAACGTTTTTATACTAACAATATAAAAAATAAATTACGAAAAGGATATTCTCTTGTGAAAAATTCCATTAGTATTTCAAATGGAATAAAAATACCAAAATTCAAAAAATAAATATATGTTTTTCTGAGATATGTCTTCAAGTTTTTGCAAAATATATGTAAATATAATGGTTTCATTACGTCATTTTAGTATGGTTCGAGGCGATTTAATAATATTCATTTATATGAATACAAGATTTATGATTGATGATATTTCAAGGTGTTATGAGAAGATTCCTTCTTAATTTTCATTTACATGTTAACACGATTCGCTAATTCATGTTGCCATTTTAACAATTCTTAAGAATGTGAAGAGAATATGAAAGGTTAAATTCCACAAAAACAATTCATTCAAAATATTAGCATAATTTTAATAACCGAACAAGAATTATTAACAAACTTAAACATTACGCTGCCGTTATGAGACCAAGCTATCTAGTAAAAGACATAGTTTGTCTATAGAAGAAATCGTCACGAAGTCCATACCGTCTGCTGCTATAGAAACAAGAAATAGCACATTTCAAAGAGGGAGGATTCTCTCTCCGATCCGACACAAAACCTGTCTTAATTAATGACCCAACACCTTTACTATAAATAGTTAAACCTCGTAACCATAGCCACAGCCATTACTCCAGTCTAATGACTGGGGGAGTTCTTTATACAGACAAACTATACATTCCAATTCTTCACCTGACGGAGGATGTTTATCACAGGGTTGGTTGCCTTTGCCTCAATACACTCGCCAAGCTGGCGGGAGTAAAAACACTGGTGAGAAATTGGTGGAAGAGAGTGGGGGAAATTACTGGTGAGAGTGGCGAGCACTAAAAAAGTATTTAAATGTTACATTTAAATGTATAATTATTTCATTTATTTTGTCATTTTCGTGTGTTGTGACAATATGCCTCGTTAGCTTTTTCGTAATGTTATATATATTCAAGAATTGCTAATATACGATATATTTTTAATGTGTTGTGACATTATTAAATGATAACTTTCAATAATATGTAGATGAGATTCGTATTTCATGATGCTTTTTAATATTTTTTACTATATCATTATTTTTTATATTTCAAGTCTGCATACATATAATTATTTCAGTTATGTTATCAGTTTAACATGCTTTGATATTAATTTTCAATTGTCTTCATTTCTAATATTCATGATGTCATTTCAAGGTGTTTTGACAATATCCCTCGTTAACATTCATTTATACACATGTAGATAATATTTTTTTTATTCATGATTTCATTTCAATATTTTTTAACAATATTCCTAGTTAACATTCATTTATACACATGTTGGTAATATTTGTTCATTCATGATGTCATTTCAATATTTTTTGAAAACATATATTCATGTTACCTTCGAACGTGTTTTATTTCCAATGAGCTGCACAATCGGTCTTGCCGGTAAGCAGACCTAGTGCGTTCTCCGGAGGTGGTATCCACTCTTTCAGGACCACCACGATGGGTGAGATACCGTTGGTCATGTTAATTTGGACGTGTAGTTTCTGACACACTAGATGGCAGCACCGAGACTCTATTTGGATGCTAAAGTGCACTAGGAATTTAATTTTGCCGGAAATGCCAAGAGCCAATAAGGCACTCCAGGGATCTTTTACATGCCGCATAATCATACGACATGGCCGCCGAGGATTTTCTGCATCCCGAAAATCCGGTGTCTGGNAAGTCCATATCGTCTGCTGCTATAGAAACAAGAAATATCACATTTCAAAGAGGGAAGATTCTCTCTCCGATCCGATCCAAAACCTGTCTTAATTAATGACCCAACACCTCTACTTTAAATAGTTAAACCTCGTAACCATAGCCACAGCCATCACTCCAGTCTAATGACTGGGTGAGTTCTTTATACAGACAAACAATACATTCCAATTCTTCACCTGACGGAGGATGTTTATCACAGGGTTGGTTGCCTTTGCCGCAATACACTCGCCAAGCTGGCGGGAGTAAACAGTAAAAACACTGGTGAGAAATTGGTGGAAGAGAGTAGGGAAAATTACTGGTGAGAGTGGCGAGCACTAAAAAAGTATTTAAATGTTACATTTAAATATATAATTATTTCATTTATTTTGTCATTTTCGTGTGTTGTGACAATATGCCTCGTTAGCTTTCTCGTAATGTTTATATATATTCAAGAATTGTTAATATACGATATATTTTTAATGTGTTGTGACATTATTAACTGATAACTTTCATTAATATGTAGATGAGATTCGTATTTCATGATGCTTTTTAATATTTTTTACAATATCATAAATTTTTATATTTCAAGTCTGTATACCTATAATTATTTCAGTTATGTTGTCAGTTTAACATGTTTTGATATTAATTTTCAATTGTCTTCATTTCTAATATTCATGATGACATTTCAAGGTGTTTTGACAATATCCCTCGTTAACATTCATTTATACACATGTATATAATATTTTTTTTATTCATGATGTCATTTCAATATTTTTTGACAATATTCCTATTTATCATTCATTTATACACATGTAGATAATATTTTTTTATTCATGATGTCATTTCAATTTGAAAACATATATTCATGTTACCTTCGAAATAGATAGATATACTTAGTTGACTTATGACGCCATTTTAATGTATTTTGATTAGAGGATTTTTTGATCTTCATTTCTATGGAGTTAAGATTCGTGATGCCATTTTAAGAAGCTTTAAGAATATTTATTGTTAATTTTCATTTATATCGTAAATTCAGGTTGTCATTTTTAGTATATTTGAGAATATATCTTGTTGTTACCTTCGAATACATGTAGATATTTTTTTTTTGATTTGTGAGATCATTTTAAAGCGTTTTGGGTTCTGCATTTAATGGCTTCAATGTTTTTTGCGTTTCATGTTGGGTTCTACGCTCTATGATGGATTCTATGTTGGGTTCTACACTCTATGATGGATTCTATGTTGGGTTCCACACTCTATGATGGGTTCTATGTTGGGTTCTACACTCTATTATGGGTTCTAAGCTCTATGATGAGTTCAATGTTCCATGTTGGGTTCTATGTTTTGTATATTAGTTCTATGTTTAATATTGTGTGAATATATGTCTCGATCATTTTTTTAATATCACACTAAGGATCATAGAACTATACTGGGTACCCAAAATATTTAGAAATGGTCAAATACCTCAAGTAATACGCAAATAGGTCAAAAATTTAAAAATACTAGAGTCCAACGTGATCTCTCATCTTCACCCACTGGAGCAAGGTGGCAACTTTAAAACCTTGAATAGGAACCCTCTTTCGTGGATTCCAGATTTGAACTTACCAGATAAAAAGTACACCGATTTGAAATGCAGGTTGTTTGCTTTTTGTTTCACAGGTGGCGCTGTGATTGAAAAATTGAACTTAACAATAGTACACACACGTAAACAGTGTCGAACATAGATATATCACGAGAAATGCACAAAATTAAAGGTATACCTGTTTAATATTTTGCTCCTTATGGAATCAAAATCAATCCTCTTTTCATGCAATTTTCCGTTTCCATACATTTCGGATATCCTGTAAAAGTATTTGCCATTTTAAATATGTTTTGAAAATATGTCTTGATGTCATATTCAATTATATTAATATATGGTTATTTTAATTCGTGATGCCACTTTACAATACTTTGTGAAGATATATTTTGATGCTATTTTCAATAATATAAATACATATCCAAATATTTTATTTACGGAGTCAATTTATTGTGTTTTGGGGATGTATTAATGTGGAGAATACTAACATGAATTAAACTAATATGAGCCATCGAATATAACTAAACGAAATAAAACTAAATTGCCAAAATAAACTATTTATTAAAAACTTAAAAACTGAATTAGAACATACTTCAACTTCCAAAATAGATGGGAAAAGAAAATTATGCTCCCTGAAGCTTGCAAAGGCCAAAGTAAACATGCTGTAGCGAAATCGCTAATCCAACTGAGAAGCAGGCAAAATATTCTAGTTAGCAAGAGTTTCAGTGCGCATGCGTTACAAATCAACAAATAAGAAAAGATTTATCCTAACAAGTTATTGTTAGATTATTCATCTGCGACTGAACAATTAAAGTAATCCTCATATTATTAAAATATTTGATCGTTATAATATGAAGTTAAATTTTTTAGAAGCTTATCACATTTTTTACGAGTATTTATCAAAGTTATTTTACTACAGAAATTAAGGTACTACTTTTTTCTTTTATTCATTCATTTATAAGTTTTTTTTAAAGTTTACCTTAGTTAGTCAATGAGCTCATCTTCATATTTGTAAGTTAATGCATTAACCCTTTCACGCCGACTGTCACAAATACGTGCCAGCATAAAATAGTATCAATCAGGGTATAAAGATAAAACTGGTAATCAAAGTATTTCTTTAGCAGTTTATTTGTGGGCGGGGTTATAATTGTCTGACCATTGACCATTACTTTGTTCAAAATAAAACTATTTAGTTATACTTTGAATTAATATTGATTGTATATGTATGCTTAAACTAACAATAATTAAAGTAAATACAAAGTAAGTCTGTCAAATTAGCAACGACTGCATTTAAGTTACCGCTTTTTATATTTAATTACAACTTGATTCTGATTTTGTACGAATGCTTTTCTGAATCACCCGTCCCCAAGGGGTTAAAGAAATCACCGGAAGGAAAAAATTTTTTTCATTAAATAACTACAGCAACCTAAAACTCTTTCACCAACAAAAATTATTTAAGTATTTATTTTGATCAAAATTAAGGAAATATTTTTTTACTTTTTGTTATTAAAAATTTTTTACTTATTTTTCTCTGAGTCATTAAGCCTTGAAAAGTGATTTGACGGATAAAGATTATCTTCCTATTCAAAGCCTAAAAATTCGAAGTCACTAATTATAACCAAGAATATCTCGAAAAAATTCGGTACAAAATGACACTCTCAGCTGTGTAATCTAGAAATATTCTATCAATAAAAATTATGCTAGTAAGTCTTTTTCTTATATAATAAAGGTTCCACGTCAACTCCAGTGGTAGTCTTTCATTTGTCTGTTTTTCCCCCCATGAAAATCAATATTCTTCATTAAAAAAACATAATTTTGTTTATAAAATAAGTAATTATTAAAATTATGTAAATATATAAACATAAAAATTAGATAATTATGTAAGAACATTTTGTTAATATGTTAAACGTAACAAACTGCACTTGAAAAAAATAATTTAACTTAGATGTGAATAAAATGTGAGACATAATAAGACGTTATTAATGAGAAATAATTTTATTTGTTAACAATAAAACAGTAACCTTATATAACAGCTTAAATTGTATTGATTCTTACCTCTTTTTTCTGACATTCATATTTTTGAAAAATTACGATACAATTGTTTTGATTTACTGGTACATTTTACTTCATTTGTCAATTTTTTTTCATTGCAACATGTAAAGCGCGAGTTAATGAAATGATAATCTCGTGAAAGATAAATTTTTTGACAGCAAGGGATAGATAATCATTGTTTCATGAAAAATCAAAGAGTCTTGAAAAAATAAGAAAATAGTACTTAAAATTAATTAAATGAAAAAGCACTTAAAATTTAAATTAAAAACGTTCAAGCAAAAATGAACTTCAAAAAAATGTCCCTTTCAGCACGTTTAATCACAACACTGTAGTTGCATTTTAGCGGTAGTAGATCAGTTAATATAATTTTTTTTTAAATTTTTCTTTAAGTTTGTGCTATTAATGCCTAGAAACAAAAAAATGAAGTTACCATTTAAAAACATTTATGTAAAAAAAAAGTTATAGCACTTTTTTTTTTAAAATTTTTTACCCAGTTGGTATCCCACGTGAAGTAGTATTTAAGAGAAGTTAACTGCTAGTTTACCTTTAAAAATGCTCTGTGTTTAGATTTCAACTCTAAATATAAATATTATTATAATTATTATAATATGATAGATATAACTATCTGATTTCTTCACAATAAATCATAATATGAAAACACTTGAACTACCGC